CGAAATATGGAATTCTGGGCTAATAAATTTGATATGGGATGCCACTGGGATTTGGCTGCTACAAAGTAGGATTTCAGGGTTGCATCAACAGGGGTATATGTTCCAGATCCAAGGAGGTGATAGCCCCCTTCTCTGACTGGGAAGCCGATGGGCTTTATGAGGCGTTCTGATCAACTGAGTCATGTCCAAAGCCAGAATGAACTCCGTGCCATCGCCGAAGTCAGGGAGAACACCTGGAATAACTAGTTATCTAACGGAAAGGCAGATCTGCGTTACAGAGGAGGGAAGCAGAGCCAGAAGTTGGAAATTCCTAGAGAACTGATTTGGCTAAACCTCAAGAATTGTTTTCCAGTTAGATCTGCTCAGCAGGGGCCGGCGTGCTCCGGGGAGGCCGAGCCCCAGTGTCGGGGGCCAGGGCGCTTCGGGGAACTGCAGGCTCGAACCGCAGCCCAGCGGAGGAGCGGGCGACTCCGCCCCAGGAGTTTCGTTTCTTCTTTACAAAGGCCAGGACACCTCCGCGGCTGCCTCGGGAACCCTCAGCCTCCACCCGAGTTCCCCAAAACGGTTCGGGGCGTCTGTGCACTCGGGGCTCCCAGCTGTCCTGGTTGTCCTCCTCCGCGGGGAGCGCTGGGGAGCCTCAGTTTCCCTGCGGGGAGAGGGGAGGACACCCTCGCACCCCAGGCCTCCTGCTAGAAGCACACACATCGCTCACTGTCGGAGGCGTGGGAAGGCGCTCAGCTCAACAGCCATCCGCAGAAGCCCTGGATCCCCTACACCGCGGGGCTCAGCAGAGCCACGCCGGCCTGGGCAGGCACCCGGTGAGGCACCAGCAGCTCCAGAAAGCACATCCTTCTAAGTGGTGGGTGCGCTGCCGGCTTCTTCCCCCGCCCCTCACTACTAGCGATTGAACCCAGGGCTTTGGCAGGGAACTACATCCTTAACCCCTTTTAAATTTTATTTTAACACAAGGTCTTCCCGAGTTGCTAAGTTGCCCAGGCTGAGCTTGAACTTGCGATCCTCCTGCCTCAGCCTCCTCCCCGTGCTGTGGGATTACAGCTGTGTACCACCACGCCCTGTGGGCATTAGGCTTTTAGGCACAGTTTTCATTATGTTTAAAAACAGTGGTGAATCTTGAAAAATTAATGTTGATGGAAGCAGCGCCTTGGAAAGAAGCTACGGCAGCATTTATGTAAATTAAGAAATGCACAGGGCGGCACACTTATTGTGAATCTGTCTCTATCATCTGTCTACCCATCTATTGAAAATTAGGACTTGTATCTCTTTTCACTAATATAAGAAAAATATTTATAAAGGTAAAAAACAGTGGTGAAGGCTGAAGGATCGGGGGCTTCCGAGTCCTCATCCCTACCTCACTGTGTGACCCTGGACAAGTTACTGAACCTTTCTGTGCTCGTGTTACTTCATCCATAGAATGTGGACAAGAGTAGCTCCTGTAGCTCCTGCCTTGAGGGGCTGGTAGACAAATGGGGTGGGATGACTCAGGTTCCTGGCTCCTGCTCAACTCCCGGCCTTTCTTCTTAGCCACTCCTTCCAACAACTCATTCTAGCCTGTCAGCTTCTTTGCTGCTGGCAGAACACCCCAAGCTTGTTTCCACCCCAGGACCTTTGCACTTGCTGCTCCCTCTGCCTGGTTCACCCTCTGCCCGGAGAGGTCCCACTCCAACACTACCCAACTCTCTGCTCAGCTCCACAGGGGCCCCTGCTGCTCTGTCTTGTGGCTGTGTCCCCAGCCCTGGGCTCCTTTGCTGAGTGAGTGTGAGGGCTGGCTTGGGGCTGGCACCCAACACTTGCAAATGTCGACTTAATTTTGTCAGCTGGCCCCTCCCACCCAGGAGCTCTTTCCCAGGGCCCTGGACCACTTCCACCTCTCCAGAGCCTCTGCAGATGTGCCAGCTGAGCCCTCAGCCAGGCCGGGGTGGCACCGCCCCCAGGCACAGCACTCCCTGCTGATTTCTCAGCAGGCCAGGGCAGCTCAGGAGGCCCCGGGGCCCTGTGCTCAAGATTGAGTCAGTAGAGACCAAAACCCAAACCTCAGAAACTACAGCCCTTCCTGGAAAGACTGGAGCCTCTGACTACAGCCCTTTGCAGAAAGGCAGGAGCCGAGGGCTTAGAGGGAGGCGCCCAGGGAACCGTGGGGTGTGCGGAACCGGGGTCTTCCTGTTCTGTGCGAAACTCACACCTGCTCCCCCTGCCTCCGCCCCTTGTCTCTCCCACGGTCATCTCCCCAGAGGGGGGCTCACCCGGCTGCCACCCTCTCTCAGACACTATCACTGCCCGCAAGATGGTGCAGGTCCCCAGGCTCCCGGGTCAAGTCCGGAGCCAGGCAGGTCTCAGGGTTCACAGCCACACAGGAGGCGGCGGGGTGGGGGTGGGGTCATCTTGTGCTACACACTCCTGGACGTGCTCACTCCCACCCAGGCCCCAGGGCAGTGCCCATCGATCAAGCACAGTAGGGTCCCCGCCCCAGGACCTCAGAGCACTCACACCCGGCAGGACACAGACTCCACGGAGCCCCTCCCCCAGCTCCGGCCACAGCTGGCTTCCAGTTCAGTTATGGCAAACTGTCAGCTTCCAGAGCTGGTGGACTTTGGAACGTGAGCTAAATAAAGGCTATATATATACTGGTGTATGGCCTGTCTGCTCCACCAGGGCCCGGGGTGTGTGCGCGCGCGTGTGTGTGTGTGCGTGTGTGTGTGTGTGTGTGTGCGTGTGTGTGTGTGCCTACGAAAACGACCTCGTGGACACCATCACCCCAAGTACCATCAACAGACAAAGGGAGGATCCGGGCCTAAGCAACCTCCTCTGCAAAATGAGCCAACTCAGTCCTATCTGCTGGAGGTCATAGGACCTGACAATAAAGCTATATTTATTTAACAAACACAAAGTGCTTCCTACACACCTGGTGATGTCTTGTGCATCTGACATAAATTCACTCAAGTAACCTTCATCATAATGTCCTATAAAGTACTCTAGAATGTCACAAACTGGAGACTGGGGTTTTGAGACTGAGGACAACAGCAAGTCGGCAAAGCCAGCATTTGAACCCGGTCGGTCTTGCTCTGGAACCCTCATTGTTAACTTCCAAGACACATCTCCTGACAAGTGGCAACTGATAGAAAGCTACTGTGGACCTACTGTGTGTTGAACCGTGGTGTCACGGGACCTATGAATGCGCATGTGAAGAGACCCAGCCCAGGGGCTCCCATCCCTGCCCTGCCCACCTGGATGCAGTGGAAGGTGGACTGAGGCTAGTCCTGGACTGGGGGCCAGGGCAGGGATTCTCGCTCACCCCACCCCACCCCACTCCCGCCTTAACTCCTAGCAGCAGCAGGCTGCTCAGGCCTTGGAAACCCTTCCCGGGCTCCTGGCAGGGTTCTGCAGTCCTGGGCCTGCGTTGTACTGGGCAGAGCTAGGTGTGGCGGGACGCGCCTGTCACTCTGGGGATGAGACCAAAGCAGGACCATCACAAATTTGAGCCCAGTACCACAAAAAAAAAAAAAAAAAAAAAAAAAAAAAAAAATCAGTGACTGAGTCACCGCAGACTCTGCAAACCTTCAGGCCATCCCAGACCCAACCTGCTGGTAACTGGGCCGCTCACTCACTGGGGCTTTCCTCCCCGTGGGAGGGACCCAGGCATCCGCACTGCGCCTCTGCTGATGAAGTTCACTGGCCCCGGCCCCTCCACACTGCGGTGTTCAAGGCCTCCCAGCGCTCCTCCACCTCTCCCAGCCCCTGTCCAGGGTCCCTGCTGCTGGGAGAGTCCCCCCCGCACCTCCCCTTCCCCTGCTCTCCTCTTCTCTCCGCAGGGGTCCCCTTCCCAAAAGAGTTGATTATGGAGCCCGCTGTGATCCCCCAGCCCCAGCCCAGCCCCAGCCCAGCCCCACTCCCCGCCGACACCACCCCAGGCCAGGCCGCTTCTCCTCCAGTGGCCAAAACAGCAAAGGAGCCCGAGGAGCTCAGCGAACACTGCCTTACTGGGCAGCTCGGCCGGTCACCCCCACTCAGCGCCCCAGGGTCCCCGCCTGTAATCGCGGGCTGCCTGGCTGGGCTCCAGAAGCCTTGGCAGGACTCTGGAATCCCTCCGTGGTGTAGAACACCCTGGCCGGAATACACTGGTGCCTCGGCTTCCCCTTCGGACTTTAGGAGGGGACTAATGCCCTATCAAGCGCCCAGCCCGCGGTAGCAGAAGCCGCATCTCCCAGAGGGCTGAGCACGGGCGGCGACGGGGTTCAGGCAGGTTCAGAGCTGGCCTGCGTGCGACCTCGGAGTCCCGGCAGCAGACAAGCTGCGGGTCTTCCGTTTGCCCAAAATGCAATTTAAAAAGTAAAAACTTGATTCGTTGGCTTATTCGCGCTATAAAGGGGGAAGGGGCCTGGGAGTCTCGCTCCAGAAGCCTCCCGGGGAATCGGGTTATCTGGCGAGTTCCACACAGTTGGGAGGGGACGGCCCCGGGGTGAAGCCCTCCCGGCGGGCGTCGCCTGGGCACGGGGCTCCCCGGCCCCGCGG